GTATGTTGGGAGAAACTAACTTCCTTTTGATTTTACAGGCTCAAAGGCAGAAGGGACTTGTCTCTCCTTCTTGGGCTTTTGAATTAATGCTGTAATGAGTTAAGACTTTGGGGGACTGTTGGGAAGGCATGGTTGTGATTTTAGATGTGAAAGGGAGATGAGATTTGGGAGGGGCCAGGGTAGAATGATATGGTTTGGCTCTGCGTCCCCACACAAATTTCATCTTGAATTGTCATCTTCACATGTCGGGGAGGGGTCTGGTGGGAAGTGATTGAATCATGAGGGTAGACTTTTCCTTTGCTGTTCTCATTACAGTGAGTGAGTTTTCACAAGATCTGGTTGTTTGAAAGTGTGTGGCACTTCCTCCTTTGCTCTGTCTCTCTCCCCTTCTCCACCATGGTAAGACGCGCTTTCTTCCCCTTTGCTTTCCACCATGGTTGTAAGTTTCCTAAGGCCTCCTATCCTATCCATGCTTCCTGTGCAGCCTGTGGAACTGTGAGTCAATTAAACCTCTTTTCTTCTTTAATTATCCAGTCGCAGGTAGTTCTTTAGAGTAGTGTGAAAACAGACTAATATAGCTGTTATTATAAAATAGTCAAAATATTTTAAAAAGTAAAGTTTATTCAGTAAAAAATGTATAGTAAGTTAAGTATTGATGAAAGAAAAATTTATAAAATAAACAGTGTAGTACACATGTACAGTATTTATAAAGTCTACAGTGATTTTTAGTAATGTCCTAGGCCTTCACATTCAGTCACACTTACTCACTGACCCACTAAGAGCAACTTTTACTCCTGCAGGATCCATTCATAATAAGTGCCTGATGTACCATGTTTTTCTTTTATACAGTATTTTTACTATATCTTTAGTATGTCTACATACACAAATACCATTGCCTTATAATTGCCTACAGTATTCAGTACAGTCACATGCTGTACAAGTTCAAAGCCTAGGTCTTCAAATAGTCAAGGATTTTACCTTTAACTAACTACAATTCTTTCTAATTTAGTAACTCAGTGAAGTGTACAAAAATGTGTTATAAACTATAAAGTGATATACAATGACTAGTTTTGTAATTAGTTCTTGGCCTAAAACAGACATTACTTTGACTTTAGGCTTAGTTAGGAATATGTATTAATCTGTTCTCACACTACTGATAAAGACACACCCGAGACTGGGCAATTTACAAAAGAAAGAGGTCTAATGGACTTACAGTTCCACGTGGCTAGGGAGGCCTCATAATCGTGGTGGAAGGTGAAAGGCACATCTCACTTGGCGGCAGACAACCAACATCCAGAAAATATGAATTCTAGGACACTGAAACACAGACAGTACAAACATGTGATCCATAATAGAAAAGAAACAAATGAGAGGAGACCTATGATTACCCTGATTTTATGCCTGGAAATACTTTCAGACTATGGTCCACATAAGGAAATTCAAGGAAAGTTGCGCTGGGGAGAAAAAGATTTGAGTTTAGGAAGTCTAAGACGGCTGGAATTTGCAATAAAAAGTGACAGAAAGGAAAAATTATACATAGAAAGAGTTTCAGAATACTCTTCAAGTCTTGGGCTGAATACAAAGCTGTGCATGTATAGCGCGAGACTTTACAAAAAAATTAAATACCAGGGCAAAAAATAACTATCACCAAAAGAACAATTACTAGGGAACTACAAACTCAACACCTGCTGGAACTCAAAGGGACAGGAGTCATTTGAGTTTTAATCAACTAGAGTGCAGAATCTTTATTAAATACCCATGACATACAAAAGAGGGTCCAACAAGCCACTCTTCCAGGACTGGACTAAGATATCCACATTGCAAAATGATAGTGTAGACACTCACAAGGTTTAAAAACAAGTCTCAAAAGAAGCAAGCTGATCAGCCACTACAGGAACAGCTTCCCAAAATGAATCTCAACCTTCTTTAAAAATTTAGACATTCAATCTATTGGTTTTTTAATGCTGGCATAACTAACACACGTTTAATGGCTTGAAATGACACCCATTTATTATCTCACAGTTCGGTAGGTAAAAATTCCAGTACAGCATGATCCAGTACAGCATGATTGGGAGATTGTTCAAATGAGCTTCCCAATCCATGCAGGCAGTTGGCTGAATTCTGTTCCTTGCAGTTTTAGGACTGTGGCTACCATTTCCTTGCTGGCTACCAGCTGGAGACCAGTGTGTACTCCTAGAGCAATGGTGTGTCAAGTCCCTCTCATGCTTCCAATCACTTCGACTTTCTCTTTGCTACATTTCTCTGAGTTTACTTGGAGAAAGATCTCTGGTTATAAGGGTTCATGTAATTAGATTGGGCTCACCCCAATAATCCAGGATAACCTATTTTAAAGTCTATAATCTTCATTATATCTACAAAGTCTCTTTTGCTATGTTACATATACATATTGAAAAGATCCAAGAATTAGGGCATGGACATCTTTTTTTTTTCTTTTTCTTCTTTTTCTTTTTTTTTTTTTTGAGACAGTCTTACTCTGTCACTCAAGCTGGAGTGAAGTGGCACGATCTCAGCTCACACAACATCCGCCTCTAGGACTCAAGCCAGTCTCCCACCTCAGCCTCCTCAGTAGATGGGACTACAGGCATGCACCACCATGTCTGGCTAATTTTTGTGGGGTTTTTTGGTAGAGATCGGGATTCACAATGTTGCCCAGGCTGGTCTTGAACACTTAGACACAAACGATCAGCCCACCTCAGTCTCCCAAAGTGCTAAGATTACAGGTGTGAGCCCCCATGCCCCACTGATCCCCAGTGTTGGAGGTAAAGCCTGGTTGGGGAGCGGGGAGCAGGGAGTTGGAGCTTAGTTACGGATCCCTGATGAATGGCTTGGTGCCATTCTCTAGGGTGTGAATCAATTCCTACTCTTAATTCCCAACGAAACTAATTTTTTTTTTCAACAACAACAACAACAAAGGAATAAAATAGAAAATAAAAAAAAATAAAGAGAGTGAGCTTGAAATCTCCTCCCCTCTCTCTCTTGCTTGCTCTCTGGCCACATGATCTCTGCACACACTGGCTCTCCTTTGCCTCCTATCATGAATAGAACCAGCCTGAGGCCATCACCAGAAGCAGATGCTGGCACCATGCTTCTTGTACAGCCTCCAGAACCGTGAGCCAAATAAACCTCTTTTCTATATAAATTATCCAGCCTTGGGTATTCCTTTACAGGAACACATACTGACTGAGACAAGCAGTAAAAAGAAACCACTGTTACAAAACATCATTGTAAATCTCAAAAACATACTGAATGACAATAGCCAATCACAAATGAACACACACTGCTTAATTCCATGTATGTGAATTCTTATAATAGACAAAACTAAAGCAGTCATATAAATTAGATCCCACGTTGGAGGAGCTTGACCAGGAAGGAACAGAAAGAAATGTTGGGGCTGTGGAAATGTTCTGTATCCTCACTGGGGTAGTGGTTACTCAAGTTTATATATTTGTCAAAACTCATCAAATAGTGCTTTTAAAATGGGAGAATTTTATTTCTGTAAATTATTCCTTAATTTTTTTAAAAAAGCCAACAGGAGAGAAGAGTTTTAAGAATAGCAAGTAAACAATGTGAACTGCCATAGAAAGGAAGACGATCATGAGAATTGAAAAGAATTTGTTTCAATTTTTTAAATTTAGTGATTTTAGAACAATTTTATTGAATCACTTTAAAAGAGTCCTTTTTTAAAGAATCCCTTTTATTTAAAAGATGGGTAGAATCCAAGATGCAAGATATTTTAGTCGTAGTTACCTAGAATGAGAAATTCGAAGAGAAAAAGCTCAGGCTTTTCTATTTCAATTAGTGCATCTCAAACTTCGATGAACATAGGAATCTCCGGGGGGGTCTTGTTAAAGTGCAGGTATTGATTTAGGAAATCTCGAGTGGGGCCTGAGATTATACATTTCTAACAGAAACCAGGTAATGTCAATGTTGCTGGTTCATCTACTAAAATAGGTGGCAAGGACACAGATCGCTCCTGCGAGGCACAGATGCCATAATTAGAGTGCTAATTTGGTCCAGAAGTTTCCAAGATCTATGGAGTCTATTCCTACCATCAGTTCAAGAATGCCTACATGTAGACTGACAGGCCAGCCCTCTTTCTATTTGAGTGCGACCAGAACACGTGCATATGATGCTGTAAAAAATAACATTGATCTTCGCTCAGTAGCCTTGGGTTCAATCCCCAGCCTGCTTCTAACCAACTGCGATAACCTGGGTTAATTACTCCTAGGCTGCAAAATGAGAGAACAGTTCCTGTTTCTCCTCTGTAGGTTCCCGTAAAGACTACAATAGAAAACGTAAAGGAAAGTACTGCATGAACCATACCCCCCAAAAACCAGAATAGCTAAAATAAAAGTCAAGCAAAGAGTTTGAGAACCAAGCAGGACCTAAAAATAAGAGGTGGAGCTCGGGGTTTTCCCCCTGGGCGTTGAGGGATGTACCATATGGGGGGGACGCCCCACAACAAATAACCTATTTTAAAAGCTTCTGTATTTGAAATCATGCCTCTATCATGACACCTGAATATGAACTTTTCCTTCGTTAGTTACTTCAACTGGCACTTAACTATAAGTTCAGAGACAGTATTATGCTTGTTTCTCCTGAACTCAAAGTGCCACCCACGCACCTCGCCCTTTCTCCCATCCACCCGCGGTTTTCCTACCCCCGCCGCCTGCGGCCCCCGCCCCGGGGCAGTAGTTTGCACTATGCTGAAGGGAGAGGTGGAACGGATTCGTCTATCTACGCACCTCGACGAGGGGGGTGTGAGGAGCTACGTTCCAGAGAACGGTAAGAAACTCCGGCCAGGACACACGGAATCACCGGAGAACTCGAGGCGAAGGTGCGGCGTCGGTGCAGGAGCGGAGGGGCGGGCCCGTAGCAGCCCTGCGAGCGCGCAGGTGTGCCCGCGGCCGCACTACCCTCCCCGCAGCCTTCACGGGATGGCGCCGGCGGGAGAGGGCGGGGCCAGGCGCGCGGCGGCCGCCTCTGCTGCGGCCGGAAACAATAGTGGAGGAACCCGAGCCGCGCGGAAAGGCGGTGGTGACCCGCGGAGCCGGACGGTAAAGACCCCGCACCCCTGCTCCCGTCCCACCCGAGCCCAGATCCCCCGTCCCATCGTCCCGCCTCCTTCGAGTTCCGAGGCCCGTGGCCCCTCGCGCTGCTGCGCGCCAGGCGCCCCGACGGACGGACCGACGGAGAGACTGACGTGGGTCCGCGATTCCCTGGGGGTGGCCGCGCGCCCCCAACGCTGAAGAACGGGCCAGGACCCGGCTCCCCGAGACCCTGAGGCTGGGCGGGTCGGCCGCCGTGGCTCTCGGACGCTTTCTTCCCTCTGCGAGGAATCCTGGAGCGATGGGACCATGCTCTCCCGCCCGCTGGGCTCCAGGGTGCCGCGGCTCTCCCGGCTCCGGCGTGGGCCCCTCCGGCGGTGCCTGGCCGGTACCGTGAATCCGCCGCTCGGCCTTCGGTGTGGTTGCCCCGGACACGGCGGGACGCCCTCCCCAGGTGTTCGGTACCCACGTGCATTTTGCTGCCGCCGACCTCCGTTCGATGCGAAGCTTCGCAACTCCGAGTTCGCGAGGCGCATCTGAGGTTCCCCCAATGGAAGTTAGCAAAGCAGTGTCCCGTGCAGGTCGTTTTTCCTGTTTCTCACAGCGTTAACTAGGTTGACAGAACCTGGTAGCTGAAGAGGCCTTGCTGCTAAGCCCTGTGTCTGATTAATCGAGGTTGGGGGACGAAGGAGGAGGACTAGAATGCCCGCAAACCTCTCTCCTTCAGGTCCCCGTAACCCAATCAACTACAGGACAAAAAAGACACTGACATAGTATCACCTATGGCCTAGTTTTAAGTTTTACTAGCTTTGTGTCTTTCCACAGGAAAAGTGCAATGTTGAAGTGCAAGTATGGCGATGCTTTTTTGATGGAGCTTTTGCTTTAGACGAGCTGAACAGCATCCTTGTTTCCTAGAAGTTCCCAGAAAAGGAAACTACCCCAAAGGCAGGTTCTTGAATTGTGTAACTTTCCTTTTCTGTTTCTTAATAGGGGCACTATGAACGAAGAGGAGCAGTTTGTAAACATTGATTTGAATGATGACAACATTTGCAGTGTTTGTAAACTGGGAACAGACAAAGAAACACTCTCCTTCTGCCACATTTGTTTTGAGCTAAATATTGAGGGTAAGCACATGGTATAGTTTTGATTTTATGGCATGAATTTAACACAGCTGCTTTATACTGGTTGTAAGGTAAAACTAAAATATCTTCAATGATTGGAAATTGTGCTAAGTATGAATAGTGTAGAGATTTGTTAAAGATAAGGTTTCTGGAAATGAAGGTGCAGTTAACAGAGTTACGAATTTAAGAGAAATCTTTGTTTTTTAAAGACCCCTGGAACAACCTCATTTTTCCTAATACAGAAATAAGTATGAGTGTTGATTGGGAAACGTGTTTTCTGGTTTGAGAGCTTATTGAATCGTCAGATTTTAACAGACGTGTGTGTTTTTCATATTAAGAAGTAACATAACAATTTTTTTATTCTTTCAAGCCTATTATGCAGGTATTTGAGTGAGATAAGCCCGAACCCTTTTCTCACCAGTATGATCTTATTATCTGGAAAAATATTTTAAAATTTTTAGATTAACCTCTTTTCAATGATCACACACACTGTTAGTAATTTTTGAAAACTGGAAAGGTTTTTAAAGTTTTTTAATGGTGTCCCTAAGATATATGAAGAAAAATTCTCCAAATCCAAAAAAAAAACAACAAAAAACAGCCCTCTTAGAAGGATGTATTTGGGTTGGTGCAGTTAGTGCCGTCATATTAAAATTGATTTTTGGTTTAGATATTTATGAGTCATACTAAAAAAAAAAAACTTAATATTCTGGCCTGTAATTTGAGTTTTGAGTTGTTACATATCAGTAGAGAGACTTTATTAAACCTCCAGATTATGGACAGTTTCAAAATAGTTATTTCCTTTTTTCTGAATTATATATTTGAAATTTTTCATGATCTTTATTTTCTGTTCTGTAAGTATGGGGTATGAAATGTTCTTATAGTTTTAAAAAAATATAGTGGGGGATTATATACCTTGAAATTCCTGTTAGGACTTGTTATTCAGAAATTATTATAGTCACCAAACAGTATGTGATGGAAGATTATGGATTTCTTGTGTATTACATAGAATATCTATAACTTTGGCTTTAATAAATGTAGTGATTATAGCTAATTTCAAAAGATGATATAACAGGAACAGTGGTGTAGTCCTACAATTTCAGCTACTCCAGAGGTTGAGGTGACAGGATTGCTTAGCCTAGGAGTTCAAGTCCAGTTTGGGCAGCGTAGCAAGACCCCATCTCTAAAAGAATGAATAAAAATAAAAGGATAACTTAAAAATAAGTTTATTTTACAGTACTTAAATCATGCTAGGGTGAAAATCTGAATTTATGTTCTTTGAAAATAGAGGTGGCTTTTATATTGTTGATACATTGTAGAATTTTAATTTTAGATGGGTAAAGACATTAGAAATTATCTACTCCAACCCTGTATTTTACCTTTAAGGAAACAGCCAAAAAGTTGGACTGCCCAGGGTTGCTGTAGTGGTGATGGCAAGCTGTTGTTATGTGCCAGGCACTGTGCTAAACCCCTTATGTGGATTATCTTATTTAACTCAAGATAGCTTTGGAATGACTACTGTCATTTTCTATTTTCAATGTGATAGAGCTGAAGCTTGGAGACCTAAGAAATACAGTTTAAAGTCACACAGCTCATAACTGACGATCCTGGACTAAAGCTTGACAGTCTGGTTCTAGTATATGTAATCTTAATACCATTGATCTACTGTCAATAGTTATTTTATATCAATAGGGCTAATGTTCTAATCCTAATTGGTTATTCTTGCTATTCTCTCAGCCACCTTTTTCTAACCAGTGTTTCCTGGCAACTCATCATTAACGGAGTTCGTACCATGATCGAATTTTTCCACAGAACCCTAAATTTTTGTAATTGCTTTTCTAGCTTTTTAAAATAAGCCTTTTATCTGGTATTCAGTCATTGTATAGAGATTATACAGATATTTCCTCAGGTACCATCTCTTAACATTTCAGCTCTGATAATATCTCAGCATGTAAGCATGGAATAAGTCCTTTGTTTTTGAAATCATAGTTACCTTCAGTGTAAAAGACAATTCTCAATTTGAATTAGAACTGTTTCATTAATACTCTATGTATAGTCAAGGTTTTATATATTAAAATCCCAATTTAATCTTTGTAAGTAAAATTAGAATCAAATAATTTCTTCTCTATCTGGTGTCAGTTCTCAGCTCTCACAAATACACATTTTCATTTTCACTACAGTTATCACCTAGTGTATTACAACTGTTTTGTTTAATATGAGATTATTGTAAGCCGGCGTGGTGGCTGACGCCTATAATCCCAACACTTTAGGAGGCCAAGGCAGGTGGATCACTTGAGGTTAGGAGTTCGGGACCAGCCTGACCAACATGGAGAAACCCCATCTCTACTAAAAATTAACCGGGCATGGTGGCACATGCCTGTAATCTCAGCTACTCGGGAGGCTGAGGCAAGAGAATCACTTGAACCCAGGAGACAGAGGTTGCAGTGAGCTGAGATCGCGCCACTGCACTCCAGCCTGGGCGACTAAGCGAGACTCCGTCTCAAAAAAAAAAAAAAAAAAGATTATTTTAGAAAAGAGGGAAATGAGCATCTTGAATTGCACACAATTTTAGTTTTTGTATCAGTATACAGGACTTTAGAAATCAGTGGGGGAAAAATGTCATAATAATTACATACTAGAAAAATAACAAGGTATATTTGTTGTCGGTAAATCTTTTAAAATGTTTTTGAAGTTTTCTTTCCTCTACCAAGTTCCCAACACAATGCCTGTCAATAGGCTAGAATGTAAGAGGGGCTTTTTAAAAATGACATTTAACTTTACTAGTTTAGTGTAAAGTTTTTTGTAGTTTGGGAGTATTGCAGTTACCTGATTTCTTAGTGTACTAATTGCTAACTTTGCTCTAAGACACTCTTCTCTGAGAAGAGGCTGAGTAAAAATAAATTCTCCTGAGGAATAATAACAGTTAAGCTAGTTTTGAGTCCATATATTTGTAGTAAACAATAGTAATATTTTCTACTTTTTGGATTGTTGCTTACATCAAGTCAACACTGGTTTCCTAATCAACTAGCCTCTTGTTTAAAAGCTGTGTGCATGCATACGTTTATAAAATGAAGACAAAGAAAGGAAGAAAGAAATAACAAAAGACAATCTAATCTTGTTGAACAGATTTTGTATTGTGGGCATGGCTCTAAGTTGGCTTTTCTCTGTGACTTTACAACGATGAAAAGGAAAGAGGAGCCTAAATTTTATGTACTTCCAAGCCACAGGTGATATGCTTTAAGGACCTGAGAAACGCACTCTGAGGACTCAGATATTTTTAAATGTTTACAAGGTTAATTTTTTTTTTAAACTGTTCTTCACCATTTGATATGGTTTGGATCTGTGTCCCTACCCAAATCTCATGTTGAAATGTAATCCCCAGGCAGAGACTGGTATTAGGTGATCGGATCATGGAGGTGGAATTCACATAGATGGGTTAGCACCATCCCCTCAGTGCTGTTCTCATGATAGTCAGTGAGTGAGTTATCATGAGACCTGGTTGTTTTAAAGTGTGTAGCACCTCCCCCCTCACTCTCTTCCTCCTACTCTAACCAAGTGAGGTGTTGGCTCCCTCTTTGCCTTCTGCCCTCATTGTAAGTTCCCTGAGGCCTCCGCAGAAGCGGATGCTACCGTGCTGCTTGTACGCCTGCAGAATTGTGAGCCAGTTAAACCTCTTTTCTTTATAAATTACCCTGTCTCGGGTTTTTTTTTATAGCAATGCAAGAATGGACTCATACACCATTAAAATAAATTGTCTACTTCTCAGATTAGGAAACAGATGCATAAACTTCCTAAAACTTACAGCCTGCCCTTGGCCCTAAGACACTATGAACTTTTTCATACATATTAGTGATCAAATACTCTTAATATGCATCATAGTTCAAATTGCTAAAATCTCTAAAGATATTTAAGGACCAACTTACTACCATTCCCTAAGGAATGGCAAAGAGGAAGGCAGCCCAGGGTGGTTAGGAGCCAGTAATGAAACTCAACTGTAAGGTAACAAAGCCCAAAGTGAGACTTCAGCAGGAAAAGATCCAGGGTTTCAATACTGTTGGTTCATACTATGAGTTTTCATCTTGTGCCAAAATAGTGTATAAATAATTCTTAGAGCATTTCTCTCTTCCTATAATTGGCTTGCTTGCTTTTCCATAGAGAAACCCCCCCGCCCCGTTTTTTTAAGCTAACTTAGCTTAGAACAGTTTAGCTTTTCTTCCTTTCTTTATGTTATTAAAATAAGGGTTTCACTATGTTGCTTAGGCTGGCCTTGAGCAATTCTCCCAGCTCAGTCTCCCAGGAAGCTGAGATTACAGGTGTGCATCACCTTACACCTGGCTAAAACGTTTTTATAAGATTCGACCAATTCCTGTTATACAGGTTGAGCATTCAAAATCCAAAATGTAAAACTTTTTGACACCTACATGATGCTCAAAGGAGATGCTCATTGGAGCATTTCGGATTTCAGATTTTTTTATTTGGACTGCTCAACCAGTAAGTATAATACAAATATTCCAAAATCTGAAATTTGAAACAATTCTGGTCTCAGGCATTTCAGATAAGAGATACTCAATCTGTACCAAAGTTTCCAGTGTAAGTTGGCCTTGCTAGTTGGTAAGTATGTATCTGGCTGCTCTCTGTGTAGTACCTCTTGGACTACTTTCTCTCAATTTGTTCTTTCTAGGAACCATTCTAGAAGGAGACCCAAAGTCAGCTCCTTAGCAATCTTTCCAGCAAGAAAAATCCATGATCTTGGCTAAGTCATAGGTGAATTAGTGCCTGTGTTTAATCTTACTGTTCCTTGGTTCTCTGTGTCTTTACCATATACTGTTTGTGGTCGGTAGTCAGGGACCAGTTTGAATCTCAATGTGACATTCTTGATTTGGTTTGGAAGTTTGAACTGGTTGTCTATTACTGGAAGAGGACATAAACTGTTCCTCTGTGTCCTGCTTCTGACACACTAACATTTTTTCCACTTAAGTAAGGGTCCCCACCACTTGTGATCGGGA